CTAGCGGATCCATGTTGGATTATATTGGACCTTCCTCCTCTTCATTTTTGAAAGCAACCTCTGCTTGACCCCACATGTTGGAGCCTGGACCACCTTGCTGTTGAGCCGCCCATTCCCAGCAGAGAGGGATTTTCTCTTGCATCCCACGGTTGCACCGCCGTGAACATCGCGGCCGCCGCCACATCTCGGGGAAGGAGAAAGAGCATCAACCGAAGCACCCTTCTTGAGGATCTTGATCTTGGTCTTGTTGACAGGCGGCAAAGGGGAAGCTGCATGGGTGATCTTGGAACCCGACCGCGGGTCGTCTTCGTCATCGTCGTCGTCATCGAACAATTCATCGTCGGAGAAGAGCAGATCCGAGCGACCCGGGTTGTCATCGAAGAGCAGTTTGACGATACGGCTGCGATGCTTCTTGAGGCGTTCGGGCACGACCAAGGAGGCGACCAGCACGGCTTCTTCTATCAAGGCCACCATGTCTGTCTCCTTCTTCACGTTGTACTTGCTCCGGAGTATTGCTGCAATGTCCATGATTGATGGATGAGAATGAAGGACCAGGAAATGATCGATGGAAGGAGATAATTCTCTTGAGCTGGGGATCGTTGGAATGAAGCTTAGGTTACGGTAGTAGGGTTAGTTGCAGGGAATACTCATATTTATATACGGATGATTTCTTTTATTACAAGAACGCCATGCCCCAGTTTCTAATAAAATGCGGGATAAATGTTAGGTTTGCTAAAAAAATACCAAAAACGTGGTCGTACAATCCATGAATCCGAGTAAAGTGAAATTTTGGATTCCATGAACCAATCGGATAATTGATTTTTGTTTTTTGGGATTTTAGAAATTCGGACAAGGGTATATATTCCGAATCTTTATCTTTACTTTTAACATGTTTTGCTTTCAATAGTTTTTTAATCATTTTAAAATCTACGTTTACATTTACCCTTTGGTAATATATTCAACATTATTTGTTTTTCAATAATATAATTCGGTTTTTTTTACAAGAATATTACTAAAATAAAACTTATTTACATAAATATGACTACATTACTACAACATAGTGCTGTGGTAACTAAAGTTCGAAACTTGAACATGAATTACTATGATTTCGTTACTACTCTAGTAATGAATCATATTTTTGTAAATCATCTTTATTTTGGTTATATTTATGTAATTATTTCTTTTCATATAACTTGATGTTAATATTATATTTCAATAAACGCATACTCCCACTGTCTCTTAAATTTGGTCACATTTGACCGACACGAGGATTAGTAGAGTAAGAACTAAGTGGTTGATGTTTGTGCATTGAACCAACAATTCACTAGTTAAATCACAAATTCTTACTTAAAGGGGAAAATGACAAAGTTAGTGAGACAACCAAAAATATATTGACAAAAATTTAAGACATGAATAGATAGAGTATTATTTAGAAACATATTAGCCACTATCTCCATCCCTTTTTATGTTAAAAAATTGTCAAAAATAGAAGTGTGAATTTTATTTTGGATCTACTCAAAAAGAAAAGTGTTAAATTTATTTAGGATCAGAGGAAGTATCAGTTAGGATTACGGTACATAATATTTTGGCAGGGATTTTGGCACGGATTTGGCACGGATTTTGGCAGGGATACGCCAAATCCGTGCCAAAAACACTTTGGCACGAGCTATTTGGCACGAAAAATTGATAAGTCCGTGCCGAATTCCGTGCCAATCCCGCCTTTTTTTTTGTAGTGGGTCCACTTTCATTAATCCAATAACACCAAAGAGACACCATCTCATGCGCACAAAAAGTAGGGCACAAAAATGCATAACGAATTGGTTAACAAGCTAAAAATGTTCAGAACTTATCAAACAATATGGCAAACTAGAACTCACTAACATTTTTTTTTCATTTTGTTAATAAAGTCTTTTTCGCTCAGGGGAATTCTTTTGTCTTTGATGCAAACATATTTTTTTGTTAGTGCGAAAAACGATTCTCTTCACAAAACGAAAAATAATTGTCTGTGCACAATAATTTGAATGGTGTGTAAAATGTTGTGTACAATTTGAACGTGTACATACAACATTTTCTTAACTCAGTCAATAATAGCTCCTATCTTAATCTTAATCAATCATGTTTGCCTTTTAAATTCCCAAAGCCATGGAGCCGCACGACTCGCACCAATCGGACTGCCTGAAGACAACATTACTCGGCATTAATTATGGGCTGAGTGAATTTTTAGAGAGAATTCCAAAAAATGGGGGTTTTGAACATGTGAGGCAAAATCACAGGACTTCACTTTAAGGGTACAAAAACAAGGGACTCAGAAGTGCCATTTCCAAATGATATAGGGCTAGATTTGAAGCACTTCCTATTCGGAATTCCCATTTCCAAATCCATGAAATGCTTTTTAAAATCCCATTTGGAATCCCCACTTCCAAATCTCATTAAATGTTTCTTATAATCCCCATTTCCAAATCCCATTAAATGTGCTTCTATTATTCTGAATCCCCAATTGAGAAATAAACAAAATAAAATGTAATGCTGCTCCAATTCGAAATATCAAATGGGGGAAAAAAATCAACCCATTCAACTCATTTCCCATTGTGAAAAAAATAAAATAAAATAAACCGAGTCACATATTAAGTAGATACATTTTAATCAGATATATATGACCTATCTATAATAAAATTTAAACAGATAAATCACATAAATTTTAATCAGATAAAATTCATCAGATAAGAGTACTCCACTGTATTAATACTCTACTGTATTAATGAAGTATAACATTTTTAGATGTTTTAATAATATTATACTAATAATGCATCGGAAAAATTTTAATCAAATAAAAAATCATCTGATAAAATTCATTAGATAAGATTTCATCGAACGCATCTACACACTACACACTTTAATTCTCCTTCAAATAGACACTTTAATTTCAATCCACACTTTTTTTTTAATTTCAACCCACCCTTGACATCTATCTCTGCCACCCTTATTTAGTCATGGACCCGGGCCGGGCCGGGCCCGGCCGGGCTTTTTTTTTTGGGAAGGAAGGCCCGGGACCGGCCCTGGTAGCCACTGGGTCCGGTCCGGGTCCGGGCCGGGCCGGGCCGGGCCTCCGGTTCAGTCATAATTTTTTTTTTGTTGTTGCTTTCCTAATCCCCCCACTCACCCCCCCCACCCCCCCAAACCCCCAAACCCCTCCTCTCCATCAAGCCCAACCCGGCTAACCCCAAAAAATAAAAATAAAAAATAAAAAAAAAAATCAATTCGGTCCGGGCCCGACCCGGCCGGGCCGGTTCGCCAAATACAAGGCCCGAGCCCGGACCCGCCCCCCCCACCGGGCCTAGGCCCGACCCGGACCCGAGAACCGGGTCGGTTCCGGGCCCGCACAGTGGCGGGCCGGTCCCGGGCCGGGCGGCTCGAACCGGGTCCATGCCTACCCTTATTGCACTCCAAATGAGTAAAAGGCAAAAAAAACTTGAACCCAATCCAAATGTCATTCGAACCATTCACGATGACCAGTCATGGAGTCATTTTTTTCGTATCGCTTTAAATGAGTACGAAAATTTGCAAATTTTCGTGGATTCTATAAACGACTCCATAGCAACGCCACAAAATTTGATCTTCGACGATGTTCCTACAAATATTGTAGGAACTTATTATTGTATGTGTACACATTTATTAATAAATTAATTTTTAGTACATTTTTTTTCCGTTGCTTTCTGAAATTGAAATAATTACATACGAAGTATTTAAAAAAACAATTTCATTGAATAAATGTAATTCAAAGTATATTTTTTTTAGGGAATGGTATATGTCTACAAAAAGTAAAAATACTAAAAAAAAACAAATTATTTGGAATTGGAGAATCCGAATGGGTTTTAAAAAAAATCTCATTTCCTATTCAGAATTGCCATTTCCAATTAGCACCAAGTCTAAAGAGAACCCTAACTCTATTTGGAAATGTCATTTCCAACTCACGTTACTCACGTGATCCTAGAAACCCTTGGAAAAGTCCCGACACTTGGTGTTGCCTTTTCCGTGTTTATAGAAATCACCCGAATTCTTATCCCTGTTTTTAGGCGGGAAATTGAACATTTTTTCACCTTACTTTGTTTATAGTAAGATATTATTTGTTTAAGCATTTTTATGTAAAGTATGAATTGACTAAATGGATTCAAAGATAAAAGTAAGGTTATGTACATAAATTGAATAAGTACTAAAAATCAAGAATACTTTAATGACGAAAATGTTTCAGTGAGTTCTAGAGTAGTTAGTTGTGTTTTCTTTTACAATGAAAAGAACTATGGGGTTGAAAGTAGTGCATATTTGCTCATTCGATCACTTCCCAACAACCCGGAATCTTTGCCCCAAAATAGATTGTAGACATTTAAATTAGTGGTGGGCCGTTTATTCATACATCAATCTGGCTTTTAAATTGAGCATGATGGATCGTAATTGTTATTGGACCTCTTCAAATGTCATCAAAGATCCGGCTGAACTGTCGATCCTTGTCTACCATGAACCAAGTTAATTTGGACACTTTCACTTGATTTTATTCTGAATGACACTGTTTTTACAAAGGAACTTATAATATTTACTTCCATAACTGTAGAACTAATTACTTACTACTTCCGTCCCAAAAAACTTTGTCATTTCAAACAATTTGAACCATAATTTTGATTAGTATAATATTATGGAAGTTGTAAATCTTATACTTTTATAAAAGTACTTTTAACAAAGTACATCTTCATATAATTTTTATATTACAAATAATTTCCAATAAAAAGATATAGTTGGTCAAAGTTTTGAAAATGACAAAATATTTAGGACAGAGGTAGTATATATTTGCTCAACATTATCAATGTTGATAACAACGGCTATACAAATGTAGAGTTTTGTGTAATATCAGACGAGTTCTTTCTATTTGTCAACACAGCCGAAATGAAATACTCTGCATCCATGATTTTTGAAATTTGCTTACAATTAATGAACAAAAAATAGTTACAGGAAGATGAATGAAATGTTCAAAACAGTCTTTGATTACAAATGTTTACATGCTACACGTACTAATGCAACTTATATCCACACAAAAAAACTTACCAAATGTTAACTAATTATATACTCCGTAGGTAGGTCGATACCATATACTTCGTATATATGTAGAAATATATACTTCGTATATATATATATATATATATATATATATATATAGAGGAATGCTCCTGTCCAGACGTCCGGACAGGAGCCGCCGTCCGGCCGGCGGCGTTTGGCCGCCTTCCCGGTGGAATTTTTTGATGAAATTTTTATGGCATGTTCTCCATCAAGTCTAGTTTATCCACAAAAAAATTCAGCCAAAAACTCAATCGGGAAGGTCGTCAAATGATTTTTGCAAGTTAACTGGTCCGGAAAATATATATTGCTATTAATTTGGAGTATGAAATACCGTATATACCGATGATGGATCATATCATCATATACGGAGTACTACTTTCGTCCCGAACAGTTTCATCATATAACTTTTCCTTATTAATTTGGAGACTTATCGGGACGGAGGAAGTACGAAATATATGCCGCAGGTTAATTGGAGAGTGGCCTTAGAGCATCTCTAATGCCAAAATGTGCACGGTGCACATGTGGCATGAGTGATAGCCACATAAATATTAGCAAATAAATTATTTCTCTCCTTATTTGAATGATTTTATACAATTTTGGTAAGTTTTTCTCTGCAATGTCAACTGCAATGTCAACATTTAGACGGTCTCCTTGACATTGTGGAGAAAAACTTACTAAATCTGTATAAAATCATTAAAATAAGAAGAGAAAGAATTTAGTTACTAATATTATGTGGCTATCTCTCATGACACGTGTGCACCGTGCACATTTTATCATTGGAGATGCTCTAATGAGCTCATATCGTAAGTTATAGGTTAATTAATCAATTAATTAAATTACGTACTAAGTGTAGTAATTATAATTAATTAACATGTACGATGATGAATCGGTGCTTTTTTGTTTACATATGACGATGATGGTGGCGGTGATGATGATGTTGACGTTGTTGGAGCTTCATTTGTTGGTAGAATCGTTGGATGAACTCCTCCGCCTTGACGTCTATCATCTCGTCGCCGGCGAAATCGTCGAACACCTCGTCGGGATCGGAGCCGGCGTCCAGCTCCTGCAGATTGCCCACGGAGGCGTACCGGCTCATTGTGCCGCTCGCGCATGACATGTGCGACGGCGACGGCGACGGAGAGCTCATGATGGAAAGATTCTCGTACGAACACGACGGCGACATGGACGGCGTCGGGGATTTGTCCTGCAGGGTCAACGGCCGCATTGACCCCACCACCGCCTTCCAGTCGCCGCTCTTCTTTTTGGTCAGAGACTTGCTCTTCTCGTTCGCCGGCGACGGCGGCTTCTCCTGGAAGATGTTGAGCGCCGCTTTGAGGAGGCTGAAGGATTTGCTGCGCTTTTTCTTTTTAAACCCGCCGCCGACGGGGGAGGGCGGGGCGGCGGGTTCGAAGGAGGCGGCGTCGTTTGCGTTGTCAACGATGGGGGGAGTGGGCGGGGGGACGAGTTCGAAGCAAACGGCGTCGTTTGCGGAGTCAACGTCGTCGGTGGGGGTGGTTGACGGGGGAATCTCTTCCTCCTTCATCGTTGAGATCGATCGATCGAACGGTGGGAATTGGATTCTGGGTTGGGTCATAAGCTGCCCTGCAAAAAGCAGGGCGATTTGAAGAAGGAAAAGCTCTGTGGGAGAAATGGCAGCCCTCACTTGTCGCACTATTTATATGAACTGTGACCAAAATAAAAAGGAAGACCAATTAGCGTAGAGGGAAGACACTCTTTTGAACCGGTCAACTTCGTAAAATTCTCCTCACCTTTGATTACAGTTGTTAATTTCTGTAATTTCCCAATATAATTTCAATGTCATTTGAAGTAAATTCCTTAATAGTACTATCACTACTATGATCTAAATCTGATTGAATTATAATATTTAATGTTACCTCCGTCTCGAAAAGATTTACCATAATGACTTTTTCTGATCAATGATGACAAACTTTAGATAATGATTTTAATTATCATATTTTTATATAATTTGTAAAATTTATACTGAAAATATTTTGAATAAGAAACATTTTAATATAATTTTCATATCCAAAATAATATCGCATTAAAAAATACCATTGATCAAAATTGATAATCATTGACTATGAAAAGTCAATTTGACAAACTTTTCCGAAACGGAGGAAGTATAAAAGATAGAAAGAATGACAAAAGTCAGAGTGTTGGCTTTCAATTGGACAAGAATAGAACCGATGCTCGTATAGGACAAATAAGTTATTAAAATTATATGAAGTGCCTAAATTACCCCCATTGCAGCATTGCATCATCACTTCGTCCCTGCGCTCTTCTTCGCCTCTTCATCGCATCCCGTCCCATCTCCTGCAACCGTCTTCATCTTGCATCCGAAAAATATCATCGCCTGAAGGCAGTGCTACACGATTCAGCTTCTAGATCTGAAGCCTAGGGTTTCCGATCCAATCGAGCACGTGTGGCGGAATGCTGTGATTTTCAGTCAGCGGTAGGATTTCGGAGGCAGGGGAGGTGGTTACAAAGGGTCTTGGGTAGGGGAGGGGGTTGGGATGGACTAGGGTCCGGTGTGGTGCCTCGCTGGTGGTCTGTGTTGTGGGGGAATGGGTGGGATGCATCGATAGTATGGGGCCGGGTGAGGGGGGCAACGATTGTGTGAAGGATGGGGATGGGGAGTTGGGGATAGGGCTGGGTAGGGGTGGTGGAGGACAGGGGCGGCAACAGTGGCCGGGGGTAGCAGGGGCTGGCGGGTGGCAGTGGGCTGGGGGCTGGGGTGGGCTGGAATGGGGTTGGGGTTGTTGTAAGAGAGGGGCCGAGGTTTATGGCTAACGGTGGTGGTTTCCCGCGGTGGTGAGTGGTGGTGGCTACCGGTGGTGGTGGAAGGTGGTGGTTACCAGCAGGAATTAGAATCGATGTAATTGATCGGGTAACTATAATTGACCTGGTAAATGTAATTAGTAGGTTCGAGTAACTGTAACTAATCGGGTCGGACATAAGTTATTGATTGGGTTGGATAGTCGAAACTAATCAGATTGATTAATTGTAACGATTGGGGTCAAGTAACTGTAATTGGATGATTGGACGTTGGTCATTGGACGAACGAACGCTGGTCACTGAACAAACGGAAGTCACTATGTCACTGAGCGGAATTTTTGGTCACTAATGCTTTTTAGTCACTGGTCGAGTAACTGTAATTGGACTGATCGGGTAATTGTAACTGGGGACGTGGTCGAGTAACTGTGAATGCGGTTCGTGTAACTGTAATTGAATGGGGTCAGGTAACTATAACTGGACGGGTCAGATCGGATAATTGTAACTGGACGGGTCGGTTGGATATTTGTAAATGGACGAATCGAGTAACTGTAATTGGACGGACTGAGTAACTGTAATCGGACGATTCAGCTAACTGTAACAGGACAGGTCGAGTAATTGTAACTGGACGGATAACTAAAATAGGTGTCGGGGGGATAACTATGAGTAATTGGACGATTAACACTGTAATTTTTGAAGTATAAAAATCCCACAACTTTTTTCTCTTGAAAATAGTTGTAACATGTTGAGGAGCTAGGAAACTGCAATGGAATTTCGTACTATTCATTACGCCTTTTAGAATGATACGCAGGTCATACGTAGTAGTATATAGGCATTTAGTTATTACTCCGTACTCCGTATTAATTAGGGAGGGTATATTTGGTATTAGTTATTAAATAGTCACATGGTGATCTCTTTTTAGGAAGAATTAGGAAAATTACTTATATTTATCCAATCTCTTCTAATTAGTAATATTGGTGACCTAACCCCTAAAAGATATGATAAACACCTAAACCTAGCTAGGGGTATCTCGAGTTCCAAATCAAAGTGGAACCGGGACTGAGCCACCAATTTTCTCGAGTTCCAAATCAAAGTGGAACCGGGACTGAGCCACCAATTTCCGGTTTCAAAATTTGAGGAACCGGGTCATGACTCGTACAATAACAGTTTCAAAACCCGATGGTTCCAATTTCAATTTGATTCAGTTTTTGGTTCCAAATTATTTCTTATTTCTTTTTTTACATACTAAAAGATTCTTTTTCAAGAATAGAGTAAGCATTAAGTCGTAAGATTATTTAAATAAAGGAGTTCCCAAAGCATATTAATATATTCTACGTAGTAATTATTATTGCTATAACCAAGTACTATATGTCTATATAATAAATAATAAGATAGTTAATAAATAACTAGTTACGTACAGATTAGAGCATCTTCACCCTTAGCAAATTTAGGATGTTTTTACTTGGACTGTAATTTGCTGGTCTGGTCTGGTCTGGTCTGATCTGGTCTGGTCTGGTTTGAACTGGTCTGGTCTGGTAAGGTCTGGTTTCTTTGTATTTTTATAACTATCCAAGTCTGGTCTGGTCTGGTCTGGTCTGGTCTGGTCTGGTCTGGTCTGGTCTGGTCTAGTCTGGGACAAATTACAGTCCAAGTAAAAATATCCTTAGAGCATCTCCAATGGTAGAATGTGCACGGTGCACATGTGGCATGAGAAACAACCACAAAAGTATTAGCAAATAAATTATTTCACTCCTTATTTGAATGGTTTTATACAATTTTGGTATGTTTTTCCCTGCAATGTCAAATCGTGACGGTCTCTTTGACATTGTGGAGAAAAACTTACCAAAACTGGAAAAAATCATTCAAATAAGGAGAGAAATAATTTATTTTCTAATATTTATGTGGCTATCTCTCATGCCACATGTGCACCGTTCACATTCTACCATTTATGTAGCATTGAACAAATTTTCATACATGGCAATCAATAAATTTTGAGTTACGTACCTAGGAGAACATTGAAACCTAAAAAACTGGTCCAGTGCTTAATGTCAATAAAATGACCTATATAACAGCTATACGTGTAATCCTTTTTTAAAAATAAAATACTACTTTTGTTATAAATTGATTTAATTTAAATCCTCTCTATTGAGTTTCAACCAATTTACATATTGCTTGAAACCCATTCATTTGATTTAACGAGTTTCTACCAAGAAAACTGTTGTCTGATTTAATGATAAAAAAATCTAAGAAAATAAAACATAAAATAGTAAAAGCATGGAGGACATAATTCTGAAATCTGTAAACAGCTTCATTTAAAATCTTAGAAAAAAGAGGTGCCAATATGGCGGACGTAATTCTGAAATCTATTTGATAGAAGAAGAGGTGTTATTGTAACACAATGATATGATGTTTACACTAAAATTTAAGACAAATGTTTGGTGTACATGTTTTTGTTTACATCTTTGTTATATTTGTTTAAATAATTGTTGAATATATTGATTATAGACAATTCTGTTTAGACAAATGTGTCAAAGGTGTTATACAAAAAACACGAAGCACAGCTCAAAATTTAACATGTCAGCATTCCATTCGTCCATACTACGTTGGATATCAAATTTTTGCCCCATTGTTAAACAACGATGACGGGCCGGGACACTTTTTAATGTATACTTCCTCTTATATTGTACAAACAAATCTATAAGTTAGTATTTTAAAACACTTTAGTAATGAGCATATTAGTATATTACGTATGCTTACTTTTATTATCTGTAATAAAACGCATTATAACTATGATGAGTAAAAGTAATAACGAATAAGCGGTATATTTTACTTTTATTGTTAGGACAAAACAATCACCACCATCATTACTACTATGATTAATATTGTATACTAGTACTAGTTATTTTGACGCGCGATGCGCGATTGGCCAAATGCCCAATGCATCTTTTGATGGAAAATAAGTACGTAATATTAGATACTTTAGTATTTATTTGATATCAATATATTTAACAGTTGACATCTGATAAATTGGAACGATTAGAAGTATATTATATACTATAGTATTTTTTTATATCATTATTTTTAATGTTTGACATAATAATAACATTAATATGAAGTGAAAATCGTTGAATTCTAATAGGATGTAGCGTAAAACAATATACATATTCTAATATCATAATAAACTCTTATAACATTCTCACCAAACTATAGTAGCAAACCAAAAAATACATGAGACATTAGACTTTAGATTGCGCCATCGCCGTCTTCAAATAAAGTAAATTGCAATGGATGTCTAAAGATGGAAGCTAGCTGCAAATGACAAACAAATAGATTTTAGAAAACAGAAATAATCAATTAGAGGCTTCACTCCAAGAACACATAAACATTAGTAAATCATCTTTTCATTACAAGACATAAAAATTGACTGCCACTTTCACGTTGACTTCTATCCTGCACCACGAGAAATCTAAAAATCTATGAGAATGAATATAAGAATATCTTTAACCTTTCATAAAATCACATATACCACATATATTTTTGAGAATTAAATATTGAAGCTAAAAAGAGTACTCTATAAAACACCTAAGAACATGAAAAGCTAAAATCGATAAAAAGATTGTATCCCGATAATCAAGTGTGTAGTAATGAAAATTGTTAATACTAACCAATGAAACAAATGAATTATAGTTAGTTTTTGTCCATCTGCGTTTTGTAAGTCCAACCACTTTGAGCTTGTCAAGTTTTGTGTCTGTTGCGTGCAAATATTTTCCTCAACCAACCCATTTGAGGAAGTATGGTCTCCTGAATCCTGATCAAGGGACATCTACCCTATCTACAAAAAAGTACAAAGTAAGGTCTTTT